GCACGATGCCTTTCCTCATGCCCCAGTGGCTTCTGCACACTCAGTGGGGAAGCCAGCTTCTCATGCAAAGCTTTAACAAGTTGAATGAAGAAAACATGTGAGCAGGTGCCATGAGACTTCGCCGCTCTGGAAAGCTGGGCTGGTGTGGGCCGTGCTCCCAGAGGCCTCTCCCACATGGGCACAGACGAGGCAGCCCACGGCACACAGCCCTCTAGCAGCAAGGTGTGTGCTCACTTCTGCTACGCTTCTCAGGCAAAATCAGTAAATAAATGTAGCTAACCAGACCGGACCTAGTTCCTTTGTGTTGCCTTCTGTGAAGTATGAATTTTCTGCTCTGTGAGTTACATCACAATCTCAATCTCTATGTATTAAATATAGGAACCATACCTTCTGTGCAAAATTCACAAGGCATTGAAACTGTTGCATTTTTTCATTTTTTAAAAAAGTATTGATTTATTTTATTGGACATTGTCATAGATAAAGAGGAGAGACAGAGAGGAAGATCTTGCATTTGTTTATTTTTTGTCCAAGCAGCTGCAATGGCTGGTGCTCTGGCAATCTGAAGGCAGGAGCCTGGAGCTTCTTCTGGGTCTCCCTCCTGCAGTTGCAGGGTCCCAAGGCTTTGGAAGGTCCTCGACTGCTTTCCCTGGTCACAGGTAGGGAGCTGGGTGGGAGCAGGGTCACCACAACTATTACCAGTGATTCTATAGGAACCTGGCATTTGCAAGGCAAGGACTTTAGCCACTATGTTATCATACAGGCCTGCCTTTTTGTTTGGTTTTGAAGAACTTTAAAAATTTTGTTTGTTTCAGAATTAGATTTACAGAGGAAAGTCAAGACAGAGAGAAAAATCATTCCACCTGCTGGTTCACTCCCAAATGGCTGCTGCCTCAGGAGCTAAAAGACTAGTCTGAGGTCCCCCTCCCCCCGCCATGGCAATGCCCTGAGACAGAATCGGGCTGAGACTTCAGGTGGGGAATTCATGTTGTCCTTGTCTCTTGGGGAAGCGTGTTCCTGATATGTTAAAATACGCACTTGTCTCGGGAGAGACGTGCTCTGGTGAATCCAAGACATGGTCATGAAAATACCCCCTTTATGTTTGGGAAAAAATGATGACTTGGGGACCCGGAATACCCTAACTGCTCTAACTCCTCTCTCAGAATGACCCCCGGGGCAGGGCGACGGGCCTGGCGCTTCCAACGCCCATGTGCCCTGCCCCACGGGAGTGTGTGGGTTCCGGCCCAGCTCTGGCTCCTGAGCTGAGCTTCCTCCTGGAGGCGTGCTGGTAGCTCAAGGGATCCTGAGACTGAGCGGGATTCCTGGACCGAGCACCCCTCCTGTCACTGCTGTGACGGTGGGACTGGACCCGCGGTAGGCCCTCACTCTCTCTTCTTTATGTTTTTAAGAGCATTCCACTTTGCAATTCCCCTTCCCGTTTTGCTCCAATGATTCATCCACTAGTCAGGTTGAGAGTTCAGCTCCTCAGGGAAAGATGACCACCCAGGTGATGCAGCCACTGGCAGGGTCAGAAACGCCATCAGACGAGACAGGAAGAGGCCTCCTCTGCCGCGGTGGGCAGGGTTTGCGTCCTGAGCTGCAGGACACAGCACGCCGCTGCTCCCCCACACGGCCCTGAAGGTGCTGGCTGCATGCGGTCTGCCCTGGAGTCCTGTGCAGGCCTAGGCCTCCTGGGCTGCTGCCGCCCAAGCCACACAGCACAGGCCCAGAGGCCCAGGAAGCCGCTGCCCTGAGCCCACACAGCCCTGGAGCACCCCTCCGGAGAGGAGAGGAGGAGGGATGGCGCTCGGGCCAGGTTACAGCCACACCTTTGCTGTGCGGACATGCTGCTGCCCGAGTGGGGGTCCTGGAGTGGGGGCCCCTGGGCCACAGAGAGAATCTCTAACCTGAGGGGCAAGGAAGCCGACCCCTTCCTAGTAAGCCCTCAAGTCACGCTTCCCCTGCTGAGGTCTCTAAGGCGACACCCGCGTGAGCTGACACAGACAGAGCAGGAGTGGGGGCCACCCAACACCCCTCCACACACAGAAGGAGAACTGCAGCATTTATCTCACCCTGTGGCTGGCCCCAAACCCGGAGCCCTGTGGACTATGACCCACTCCCTCCTGAAGCGCTGGGCTCCTGCCTTGCCCTGCCCGGAAGGAACTCCTGCCTTCAGAACAAAGCAACTCTGACAGTAGTGGCCATGTGCAGAGTGCCTCAGCCACTGCAAGATCTCATTCTCTGTTATCCTGACTTTCAACAAGAATAAACAAATCCTTAAATAAATGGTCCCAGTCTACATCAGGCCTCATTTATTTCCCAAATACTTTATTGAAAAGGCAGAGAGAGAGAGAGATCCTCTGTTGGCCAGTTCTCTCCCCAGATGCTCACAGCAGCCAGGGCTGGGCTAGACCTGAGCCAGGAGTCGGCAGCTCCATCAGGGCCTCCCATGTGGGTGGCAGGACCACGTCCGGGCTGTCCTCCTGGGCGCTGCCAGGCCCCCTAGAGCAAGCTGGACCCGGGCAGAGAAGCCAGGACTGAGGTGGTGTTCCAATATGGGATGCTGACAAGAGACCACGGAACCCCTCAACCCCCACACAGGCTTGTGAGGTGTAACAGTGTGAGGCTGGAGTGGTCTTGGTGCCAGGCCGGCCTGCCCCCTTGAGAGGAGCCACAGACTTACGGACCTCAGACATGGCATACCTGACAACCTGCTGCATTACAAAACCTACTTTGTGCAAGCAGGGCCACAGCAAGCAGGACATGCGGCCAGTCCATCCTGTGCAAAGCAAGCGGAACAGAACCTCCACCTTGTTCCTGTTCAGATGACTAGGTCCTCCCCTGTTTCAATGAAGATGATTAGTTCCAGGAAAACCCTCCGCTTCTCCTCCTCTAGAGAAGAAGGTATATATGTGAGGAGTGAAATAAAGGGCATGGGCACTCTTTCACCAAGTACGTGTCCGTGTGTTTCTTGGGCCAGCAGCCCGGGGGCCTAGCAGCCTAGCATTCCCAGTCCACGCTCAGGGTTTGAGTGTCAATCCTGCAGGTTGGGACACACGCTCTGGGTAGTCTCTCTGTGGGTGTTGCAGAGAGGGCAGAGTGCAGCAGCCCCACTGGCCCGGACCCTGAGCCTGTTGGAACAATGTAGTGTGGCCAGGCTGTGCTGCTCACACTGCGGGTTCCTCCAGTGGCTGATGTTCATGTGTCCTAACCGACGTTCCAGGAATTCCAGGAATTCCTATGCCAAGAATGAGCATAAGGAGTGAATCCTGGATTTGGTGTTCCGCTCTCATGGCACCTCAAGTTGAAGGACACCCGTTAAAGTGTGTGAGGGACACGCCCTTGGCTTGCAGTTGGTGTATCCATGGCCCCTCCTAGTGCAGCCTGGCCTGGGCACACCAGCCCAATCGCATCGGGTATCCCACTTCGGAGACGGCCATGGCCAAACTTGATCCAGTGGCTTGGAAATCCGTTTCCTGCCCCTGACCCCCGATCTACTTCTCGAGTTGTGGCTAGAAGGAGTTCTTATCGGAATGGCATCACACATATGGGTCCAATGGTTGCTACCCAAACGACGGCCCTATGTTCTGAAAAAAGTTATATATTAGAATTTAAAACCTTCTCAGCATCAACAACCTTCCGTTGGACACCTGTGTGAAGAACTACAAGAAGAGTGCACCAACACGGTCGTCCTTACAAGATGACAGGTGGTGGAATAACACATTAAGCCTCTGCAAGCAACTCCAAATTCCTAGCCTAGGCAAGGCTGCTGACAGACCATCCTGCCAGAGTCCAGCCATTTATCACCAGTGGAAACAGCTGCCCAGCACAAGAGATTCCCAGTTGCCTTACCAGCCCTGCTCCCACCATTGCATCTCACATGTGCCAGCAGGTGCTGCTACCAACTCTCAGGCTAGCGCCCCAGTCCTGGCACTCACTGCATGGTACTGTGACCTAGCCCAACTTGCCCACAACAATGCTGGCTCTCACCTCTGGGTGCTACAGCGCAGTCCCACCTGGAAAAACACCCAGACCCAGCTCTCATGTGACCACTGGAGGACGCCACCTGGCCCAGCCTGTCCTACACCCATTCAGACTCTGAGGTTGCTTCAGGTTCTGACATGAGGATGTGTGGTTCATTCTGGGCTGATCCTGCTGCTGCTGTGAGGAGTGGATGCAGTCTCCACACCAGGCTCTTCCAACACTTCATGGAAAACACGTCCTATGAAAGCCTGTGCAAGGATCCCACAGGTCTGGGCGCCAAATAAACACCTCCTCATCCCAATTCCCCAGGAGCTTCAAAATGATTAATTCATTTGTAAGGCAGAGGGATAGAAGGTGGGGAAAACAGAGAAAGATGTTCCAGGTGCTGGCTCACTCCCTGATGGCAGCCACAGGCCCAGGCACGGGCAGGACCTCCATCTGGCTTGCCCCGTGAGGGACAGGGGACCCAGGTACTTGAGCCATCCTCGGTGGCCATCCCAGGGGCACAGGTAGGGAGCTGGACCAGAGCACAGCGGGTGGTGTTCACACTGGTACTGCAGTCCAGGACGGCATAGCCAGCTGTGCCCCAATGCCAGCCCTGAGCTCAAGCTCTTTGAATGCCTTGTGCACTTTGGAGGGATGGAGTGGTTCCTACTCTTAAAACATAGAGATTGTGATGTAACTCACAGAGCAGAAAATTCATAATTGACAGTAGGCAACACAAAGGAAGTAGGCGTGTCCGGTGAGGTACATGTATTTACTGAGTTCCCCTGCTGGCTCCCTGGGGTGAGCACACAACTTGGTGCTAGAGGACTGAGTGGCGTGGGCTGCCTTGTCTGTGCCCAGGTGGGAGAGGCCTCGGGGAGCACAACCCACACCAGCCCAGCTTTCCAGAGCAGCGAAGTCTCATGACACTTGCTCACATGTTGTCTTCCTTTAATCTGTCTACATTCCGAAAGAAAAGCTGGCTTCCCCACTGAGTGTGTAGAAGCCACTGGGGCACGAGGAAAGTCATCAGGCTAATCTGGAGAGGACAGGAGCCGGGTCAGCTCTTTGTGCTGCGCCTCCTCGGCCTCTCCCCTCCTCTGGACCACTCCCCTTCCACCTGGCCAAAAAACATCACCACCCACCACCTGCCACCCGCCACACTGCGGCACCTGCAGGGCATGGCTCAGGCAGCCAGAGACGTCAGACGACAGGCCCACAGTGTCCAGCGCCTCCCGGGCAAAGTCTTCAGACCGCATGACCAGGAGTCCGGGTTTGAAGCCAGTGGTCAAATTTGTGGCAACAAGAGCAGGACTCACGGTCTATGGGAATGGAAGAGGGGAAGCCAGGGGCTGTGTTCATTCCCGTTGCCATACACCTTCCTGCCCAGACACCAGAGACACTCCAGTGCAAGACCCTTCCCAACACCCTGCTTCCCTCAGGACACAGAGCCTGTGGGAATCCCCTGGGAACCCCTTTCTCATTCACCCCCTCGCACCCCTTTCTTTGAGAGCCCCCTCACCCCTCCAAGTCCGCACCTGCACGGTGATGCCATAGGGGCGGTACTCTGTGGCCAAGGCGTTGGAGAAGCTTCGCACGAAGGCCTGAGCAGGAGGACAGAGACGGTGCCAGGAGCCAGAGCCTCCCCCAGGGCAGGGGCAGGGATGGCCTGCCAGCCCACCCTGGCCCTAGCCCTGCCTGCTCCTAGGACACTGTGTGACTACCGAGGCCAGCACCTCCCCTGCCTGCCTGAGGCCCCTGTGTCCCACACCTCCACTCCTCCGTGCACCTGCTCTCAGCCCCCAGCAGGACCCGCTCCCATCCATGTCTTCCCAGCACTCCAGTCACCTCTTCTCTCTCATAACAATAAGAAACCCAGGCTGGGCACACATGCACACCTTGGATGCAGCATACATGTTACAAAGTGGGATGCTACGCAAGCTGGTCACCGAGGAGAGGTTGATGATGACACCTCTGCGCCTGCGTGGGGAGCAGCAGCCAGTGGGGAGAGGGGAGGGCACCCCAACTCTGCAAAAACACAGGTGGGACCTGTGCGTGGGGGCAGGGACGTAGCCCGGGAAAGGTCCTCATTCCTACCTGGTGACCATGCGGGGCAGGACGATGCGGGTCATCTGTGGACAAGGGCGGCAGAGGCTTGTCCCAGCCCTCCTCCCCAGCCCTCCTCCCCAGCCCTCCTCCCCAGCCCTCCTCCCCAACCCTCCTCCCCAGCCCTCCTCCCCAACCCTCCTCCCCAGCCCTCCTCCCCAACCCTCCTCCCCAACTCTCCTCCCCAGCCCTCCTACCAAACCCTCCTCCCCAGCCCTCTGCCCCTCGTGGTGCCCGGGCCCGGCCCCCTTACCTGGATCACTGACATAATGTTGCAGTTCACCAGGTCCGTCATGCTCTGAAGCAGAAGAGAGGAGAGGAGAGCAGTTCACCCCTCCCTGCGCAGGCCCCTGGGCTCCCACCTGTGCTCAGTCTGGCCTCAAGCAGCTACTGCAACAGCCAGCACCCATGTCCCGTAAAAGAGCACCCACTGGGACAGAAGGCGCAGGCGCCTGCTCACCCTCAGCTCTGCTTCTGGAACCTTCCCCTTCCTGGCTCCTTGCCCATGAGCTAGCCTCACAAACACTCAGGGAACAATGGAACTAAAAGAGGAGCTTCCTCGGGTAACATAATTGTGAAAATGCATGCACAATTTCCCCATAAGGCACCTTGCTCGTGCACTTTCAATTTTATGTTGTGTGTTTCTTTCTCCCTGTACGGAATAGCTACAGATGGAAGGAGCAACAGCAAAAGAGACCCTGCATCCACTGGCTCACTTCCACAAATGGCCACAACAGAATGGAAGTGCAACAGCCAGGAAGCAAGCAGGTGCCCTAATGGGAAGCCGTGAAGGCAAGCGGAGGATTAGTACATTGCTCAGCCAGAGCTTTTCTGGGTCTCCCACGCTGGTGCAGGGTCCCAAGGCTTTGGGCCATCCTTCCCTGTTGCCCAGGCCACAAGCAAGGAGCTGGATGCCAAGTGGAGCTGCTGGGACACAAACTGGTGCCCCTGTGGAAGCCCGGCTGATGCCAGGCAAGGATTGAACCACTAGGCTGCTGGCCTGGCTACTCAAACATGCTTCAACAAAAACTTACTTGTGCCAGGCACAGCGGCCACATGGCAAATCCTCCCCTTTACAAGCACCAGATTCTCTAGCAGCGCCTTCCGTGTCTCTCCTTTCCTGGAACCTGCCTTTTAAACGTCAATAACTCAATCTTTACGAGCCAAGGTGTTGGGCAGGAGCTCCGGGAGGGCCGTCCTCCTGGGCAGCCATCCGTGAGGTGCAACCAGCTGTTGGGATCAATGCTGGCAGGACTCTGGGGTCCCACTGGACACTTGCAGGACTCTGGGGTCCCCGCTGCACAGCAATGCACTACAACCGTTTGCAGTGTTAACACAGAAAATGCACTCCCATGCAGCTGCCTGGGAACACCCTGGGAAGTGGCAAATGCCAGCTCAGGTGCTTGAGGCCATGCTGCAGTGTAGGGACCTGAGGGTGCTCCTGGCTCAGGACTGCAGCCTAGCTTGGCCGTGGTGTGGCCAGCCGCCATGTGGGCAGAGCCTGGCACTCAGACTCCTCTGTCCCACTGTGCCTCCTTCTCTGTCACTCTGCCTTCCCAATGAAAGACTTCTTCTTACAAAGAGAGGAGCACAGGCATTAGCTCAAGGTCCAGCACTGACTCTCCTATGCACGAGTGAATTCTTTTGGCACAGGAGCCGCGAAAAGACAGTGCGGGCCGATTACCGAGTGTCCACACAGAGAGCCCGGCAGGTGAGCCCTGACCAAGCACAGCCCAAAGAGCGCGGAACAGCCACATGCTCTAGATGGAAGGAGGGATTTCCCAGGGCAGAATTGGTTTAAAAAGTAATCATGTAAAAGGCAGAAAAGCAATCGAGAAAAATAGAGATGAGCTAGAGAGAGAAAGGGAGAGAGAAAGAGAGAGATGCTATGACTGCTGTGTGCCTGCAGTCCCAGCAGTGGTCAGGATGGGGCGCTGAGTGCAGGAATCCCACGCAGGTGGCAGGACCCCTTGAGCCATACTGCTGCCCCTGAGGCTGCCATTAGCGGGAAGTGGGGGTCAGCAGGCAGAGCTGGGCCAGAACCCACGCTCTCCCATCGTGGGGAGGGCACGTGGGTGTCTGAAGCGCCAGGCCCGTAGACCCCCGCCCCCCCCCCCGGGGTCATTCTGTAAAGCCGGCACCACAGGGCAGGGAAGGTGGTGAAGGGCGCCATGGGCAGTGGGCAGCAGGACAGCAGGCACCTGCCAGCAGCCGCGAGGTGCCTGCGTTCCGACAGAGGGCAGCACAGAGTTGGCGAGCAGTGCAGGCCTCCCAGCAAGGCTTCACTTACTTGTCCAGGGTCCTCCCACTCCAGAACCCTCTTCAGCTTTCTGCCCGCATAAGCCATGCCCACGTTGTTCACTAGGCGGGGAGAGGACAGAGGGGTCAGCGGACAGCGCTGGTGGCCGCAGACAGGGGAGCAGGCAGGGGAGGGCGAGCCGGCCTGGCTGCGCACCCAGCACTCCTATGTCCAGGTCCTGCAGTCCCGCCTCGATGTCCGCATAGATCTCCATGCCCCGGGTGAAGTCAGCCTGGATGACTCGAGTCTGCCGGCCATGCAGCCGCTCTGGCAAGGGGTAAGCGAGCAGGCCAGGCCCTCAGCTGGCCACAGCCTGCACACTGGCCCCACTGGCCTCCAGCCCTGCCCGGCCCCGGGGAGACCCTGGCTCTCACCAATCTCCTTGGCCTCCTGCTCCAACTTGCTCAGGCTCCGACTGATGAGCACCACGTTGAGACCTCTCCTGGCCAGCTGTGCAGGGGTGCAGGGAGCAGGGTCACCCACTTACTCCTCCTGCCTGCTGGCCACCACAATCCAGGCTCCCGCAGCAGAGGGGAGTGCAGGGCCAGGCAGCAGCCAGAGGCACAGCTGCAGGAGAGCCAGCCCATGGCCCTGAGCCGCAGCCCAGGCACAGCAGGGCTCCTGGACACTGTGAGCTCAGAGGGGACCCACCCTGCCATCCCAGGCAAGGCTTTCTCAGGCAGGGAAAGCAATGAGAGGCAGAGAGAGAGGAAGAGAGAGGCAAGAGGGAGAGCCAGCTTGTATCTTGTATCCTGTGCTTCCCTCCTCCATGGCCAGGAGCCCTGGGCTGGGCCAGGCAGGGCCAGAGCCAGGAGTCCCTGCTGCTCTCCCCGCAGGTGCCCCAGGCCATGCTCCCTGCCTCCCCAGGGCCATGAGCAGGGATGGGGATGGGGAAGGGGGAGGTGGGTCTGCCAGGGGCGTTTCCACATGGGATGTGGTGTCACAGGTGGCAGGTGGCCTAGCTGCACTCAGTGCCAGCCCCAAGCCCTTGCTCATCGGGGTAGCCTGGGGACAAGGGACAGGAGGACACAGCGCTCACCCCTGCATCACCCTCCACTCAGTGGCCACTGGTCCCTCCCACAGCACCAGCGGCCCTGGCTCTGCTGCTTGGGAGGTGCGGTGACAGTGGTTGTGAGCTGGCTGGGTAAGGCATGCCCCACGCGCCCTCGTTCCAGACTAGAGAGCCTGGGCTCAAGGCCCAGCTCGGCTCCTGGGTCCAGCTCCTGGGTTCCTGCACATCCAGGAGGGCAGCAGGTGGTGGAGCAGGTGCCCTTCATGTGCGGGTAACGTGTCCTGGAATCGAGTGTGTGTCAGCATGGCTGAGAGCAGGTGCTGGCAGTGTGGCAAGTCTCATGGTATCAGGGTTCTCTCTCTCTCATCCATTCCACAAACACTCTGCTTTGCACCTGCCGATGGGCTGGCCCTGGGCCACTTGGCACTGCCCACAATCCTGGAATTAGCCAGTCTTTTCCTGAAACACCTCTTCCACAAGCTCTCTGAAGACTCTGGGTTGGCATGGATTGCTAACATTCTGGACACTGAAATTAACCAAGCTCTGCGTCTCATTTCCCATCCTGCTTTGGAGGACCCTCTCTCTCTCAGCCTGCGAGTCTCTCAGGTAACACACCTGAGCCTAAGCATGTGTTGGCACGAGTCCTGGGGCCCTGCCACCCCATAGTGCTGCTGCATCAGGTCGGGCCTCCTGGCTGTGGCCTGACTTGCTGGCATTAAAGAGCGAAGCAGCAGGTGGAAGGTGTCTCAGTCTCTGTCCATCTTTGAAGTAAAGGAGGGCGGGGAATTAAAAATAAATGCATAAGAAAGTCAGAGGTTGGAGTCTGGGAGTAGAATGGTGGGTGTTGGGGCTGCAGGATGGGGTGGAGTACTCAGGAGAGATGTGGGTCAACGGTTAGAG